AAAAATTTTTAGAAACAAACATATGAAATTCCTCTGATTTCAAACTCTATGACTTTTAAAGAGAAAGTAGTAATTTTGGATTTAGTTAGGTAACTTTTGCTGTTTTACCCAATTTAAATGTATTATTATTTTACCTAATTTAAAAGTATCATTATTTAAGTCATACATTAGACAAGAAATTATTTGGAAAGCCAAGTAGCCATTTCTATGACTTTTAAAGAAATAGTCTTTTTGTTTGTTTGGGGTTTTTTTGGGTAGTAACCAAAATGAACCTTTACACAAGTAGAAATGCTGTGAGAAAGAACCCTGACATTTTCATTCTCATTAGTTTATCACTTATGTTATATTTGTCATCCTGTATTTATTTATGTGATATGTGTGACATTTCTCCTCACAGGTCTCTGTAAAAGTTTCTGCCTGCATAAAAGACATTAAATGACAGCTTTCTTCCCAAGGTCAGCTTCAGTTTCTTTAAAGTCAAAGTGAGGACCATCCATCTTAAGTAGTAAAATTAATGATTGCTAAGAATGTTTGCATAGTGGAGAAATCTAAGCTAGTTTGAAGTTACCTTCTTCACTTGTAAATATCTGGTGTATGGCCATAGCATCAGAGATCTCAGCACAGTTTAATTTATCCTGGGTCTTATTTGGCTTTAGAGACTTGTCCTACTGAGCAAACCTGTTGAAAGACAACTCAGTGTCAGTCTCTGCTGGTTCTGCAGTGCATTCACTGCTCTTCTGTTTAAGTAATAGAGAAGATTGCTTAATTCCCTGATTGCCACTTAGGACAGATACTGAGTTATCTAGACAAATACGGAGTAGAATTGCAATCTCTACTGTATATTTTGGCATGTTTTATACTGATATGAATTAATGAAAAAATATTATTTATCAGATAAATATAGTATATTTCTAAAAGCATGACTAAGAAGTACTGCCTATGAGAGAGTCTTTCCATATAAAAAGAAAAAATATTATGGCCAAATTCTGTATTTATGCTTTTATTTCAGGAACTTGGAGATCTGACTATATGTAAATTGTTGTTAGGTTTGTTGGAAAAAAGCTGAAGTGACTGATGAATATATGCAGCTGTTTATAAAATAAAAGACTAGGCTATATTTGAATGTGCATTCCTTTCTAAAAAGTACTTATTTCAGTGAACTAATAAACATAAAACTTCAAAAGGCAGCTTATATTAAACATCACTCTTTTAGGTTATTCATTTATTCCATTTTGATTTATGGTTAAAATATTCCTGTCAGAAATAAAGTGCCATTTATCTAATCCAGTTTCCTATGAAAATACACTTAGGTGATTTTGGAAGACTTCAATTACCTAATTGTATAAGAGAATAATTTAGATCTCACAGTCAGTAACTTGAGATGCTGATTATTAATCAATTTTCAGTGTAAGATCAGACAGCTTACCCGAGGCACTACATACCTTGAAATATCTCAGTATATTTTGCTAAGAGTGTCAAATGAATAGTGACCTGTGAAATAAAGATCAATATGCTGTGACACAGCATTTTCATAATCACAGGGATGAATTTATCATTTGCTTGAGCTAAATGAAAATGAAAATTTAACACTCCAAGGCCATCTCGCTTGCAGATTACTTTTGGCAAGATTCCAAAAATCCACAACTTTAAATAAATGTAGCATTTCTTCAGATTACAACAGCTAAGTACTTAGCAGTTTATTTGTCATTTACTTATCACCCAACATATTTTGCTAATCTCTGCTGAAAGGCTGTTCAGAAAGTGACTCTTAATTCAAAGAGTCAGTTAGTGGCCTTCAGGGTGTTGAACAAACACCATGTAAAGTTGAGGGCCATTTTTCAAGAGCAGCTTCCAAACATTAAAGGTATGTGTCCTGGTTTATTTATGGCTATAACTCAGATATTTTGGATGAAACCTTTGCCTTCTGAAAATTAATAGCAAAACTCCAGTTAACTTCCATTTAGCCAGGTTATCAGCATTAATGAAGTGACCTTCCTGTGCTAAATTCTGAGATTTCATCATAATATTAAAAAAACAAATTTTGCTATGCGGTTATTGTGCAATCTCTCAGGTATTTAAGTCTGTAATTTTTCTTTGAATTATCTGAATTACTTGCAAATCGCATAAGTTATAACAATTTTTTTTTATTTTGTTAAAAGCTTCTTCAGTGGATGATCTCTAAACATAGATGCATTTTATGCATTTTTTGACACATAGAGCCACTGAGAAGGGCACTTCAGCTGTAAAAAGCACCAAATCACTTGCAGGTTCAAAACAAATGAGAGGTGGTACTGAATCACAGAGGAGGTGTTCAGGCCATGGGCTTCACGACAGTTCAAAAAACTGCTAGACAAATCCATGCAATAAATATACATCATGATGATCTGCAGACATACATGTGTGAGTTAGAGACTCCTGAATGTACCAAGGGAAGGTAAATAAAGGAATTATCACTTCCTAGGCCCCTTGGTAAGTTACTTAAATAGCCCATCAACCTCTTTTTAAAAAAAAATCTCTAATTTAAGTTCAGAGTTTTTCTAGCTTTGGCTTCAATTTGCACCTATCTGTATGGCATTCCTTGTAAGCATAAAAAGGTATTTACTATCCAAAATACATTTCCTAGGGAGATACCATTATAGTCTTGATTTGAATTGATTGAAGGATCAGTCCTTCAATCTCTTCAATCTCTTTTTTTTTTCCCCAGAGTATTTATGTCTTGTTATAAGACATTATAACAAGACATTATGTAACATTATAACAAGACGTTATGTAACATGCTAGGTATGTTTTTTGGAAATTGTATAGTTACTGTTATTTTTTTTTTCTCAATTCTTTTAAGTTCCTCAGTGTCCTTCTTGAAGTACAGGCACCAGAAAGTAGATACAGTAATTCCTTCCTAATTTTCCTAACACTGTATTCTGAAATAAAATCACTCTTGTATTAAATTTAGATATTATCCTACTTATGCATTCAAGGATTGTATTCACAGTCTTAGGTAAAGCATCAGAGTAGATGATCTTCATTTGATTACTTTCTATGACTCCTCAGCCTTTTCAGTTCCTGCTTCCAGGACAGCATCTCCATCTTGTGATTCTGACCTGCATTCATCCTTCACTGGTGAATAAGCTTACATTTCTATTATGATATGTGGTATTTTAAAGGATCCTTTTCATTAAGAAACTGTGTGACTAGTCTATCTCCAGCTATCATGTTTTCTCTAAAGACTTGATTAAGTGTGGCCACATTTCAAACTTGTCCTTACCTCAAGAGCAATAGAATGTCATCATGTTTTAGTCTTACACCAGAGCCAACAATGAGCTGAAGGAATTTAATTTCAGTATTTCTGTGATGTCAGGCTGACATTCTGAATGTTTATGGCCATGTAAGGTTCATCATTGCAACATAAGGCTTGAATTTTGTCTGATCAAGCGTACTTCACAAGAGGTTAATAGTTCACTGATAGTGAAATTAAGCACTAGTATAGATTGTTTATTGCCAATAGATTAATCTTAACAAACAATGTTAAAATTTCCAAAAAGGTGGGAAGTTGATAGTTTGAGGGATTCTTGAAATAAATGAAGATTAATAATATTTATTGATGAGGAAAATAATGAAATTTTAATCTAAGTAGGACTTCTTTAGCGAAGAGGGAAGGACATAGTACAAACTGAATTTCTGCATTTTAGGCTGTTTTATATAGATTATTTTCTTTTAATGTTACTAGGTTATTCTCAGGGGTGTTTTTGGAGTTAAACAGGAAATCCTATCCCTTTGTGTAAAGCTTTGTTGAAAACTGAATTACCAAACTACTTCTTCAGTATAGAATTTCTTTGACATTTCCAGAGCATCCAAAGGGTAATAAAATGTACCTCTACTAAAGAGCATGGATCATTCTGGAATTTTCAGTTTTATCTATGTAGAAGTTACATTTTGCATGATGCAAGATGGCAGGAATATTACCATTCAATGCTAATGATGATGGAAGAGTTTGCAGCACTATAATTCCAGCAATGTTTTGTCATCTGTAATAGTTGACAGTAATAATAAACAATTTTGAACTAAATTATTAATAAAACATAATTATTAATTAAATTAATTGAATTATTATGAATTAGATTATTAATAAAGCTGTGGTCTGGACATTGGTATAAACCAATGAAATATTTTTCTAAATTATTAATGAATGTTGAGATTCAACAATTAATCAGTTTTTAAAATTATTTAACTTTTGTATAAATGAATTTCTAGTAGAAAAGCTATGGAGAACTAATACAAATACTTTACAGAATACCATTAATACCATTTTATCAGCCTAATTTATCACTGCATCAAATAATATTGCCAGATGTATTTAATAAAACTGAGCCCTGTGTGCTAATGTTGTTAATTGAATTGCTGTCTTCTACCAGCTTCTGTCTCAGAAATAAATATTAACAACTGTTACTCTTCAGAGACCTTTATTCACTATTGGAGTATTCACTTTAGGATATAATAACATACAAATTAGCTTATTTTTCTTACAGTCACAAGGAGTAAGTCTTCTGTTAACATAATCTTTGTTTCAACATAAGCTTGCAGCATGTGGATGGTCATGGGGCACTTGGGAAAATTTTAATGTCAGCTTGACCTATCTTAAGGCCTAGAGGTCTTGGTTTGCATACTGTACTATGCAACTTTGAGGGTCTCTGCCACAGGTGATTGAATTTGGGGAGTTAGGCATGAGGTGTAGAATCTAAATTAGTGCTAGAAGTGCTAAACTTGCACAGGTCATACTGTAATTAACTTTTACCTCCTGTTGAATATATATAATGATACTTCTTTTTAAAAAACTGAGCTCCTCATATAGATGCACTACACAAAAAACTTTTTTTTCATACAGAATTTAAATTTTAGGACTCTTGAGCTCATCAAAAACAATATTGGTGTTGGATATCTACAGTTAAGTATGTCTGTTTTGCATAGTCTTTTGGGTTTTAAATACCAAATCTCTTTCCTTACAGAGAAGTCAATCAGGATTCTGATGGCTGTATCAGCTTCAAAGACTTTGAATCTGCAATGAAGTATGGACAAGATGAAGTATCACCAGTGTACTTTGCCTAAGGAATATTTTCTGGTAAAAAGACAAAGTGAAAACTTTAGATCTCAAGATATTTAAAAATCAATGAAACTTCATTTGTTTCAGCCAGCATTTTAAGAACTTTGACTGTAAGTGTAGCTCTGAAGAGCAGCCTTTGAAGATTTACTGTTGACAAGTTGGGTGTATTAATTTACATGTGTATATGTGTGTAGAATGCTTAAAATATTTGAATCTCAATTGATTCACAATCACACTACTTAGGGATTGGAACTCTGTACTTTTTCTTTTTGACTTAACAGAAAAAAAAAGATCAATTATAATTTTCAGTTACTGTGAAATTTACTTGTTCACTTTTTCAATAGACCAAAATATCTCACATGTACAGAGACATGTAGATTGAATTTATGGTAGAAAATGCCTGTTGGTTTTGGGTTTTTTTATCAGTAGTATATTTGTATTCCCTTTACTGTTTTATGCACATATATTGCTCTTTTTTATGTATTACACATTGTTTTTAATTTAACATTTATTAGTTAATTAGCTACATTATTTGGTTCTGAACAATTCCCAAGAACTGTGTATGTAAGGAAGCAAGCATAAGTACTTAGCTTTTTTTTTTTTTTTTAGTTTTTACATTTTTTAGGCCTGGACCTCAGTCTGGCAGGCTGAAAATTCTGTGTATTCAAACCTCCATCTGACTTTTAGGGAAGAATTTGGAGATACACAGATGAATATACACTAGCAAGATGACAGAATTTCCCAACAGTTGAGGGACAGTATAAGGTAGAAACTTTCATTGGTTATGAAGTTGTCTTCACTCCTCTCTCTCTCTCTCAGTCTATTCTGTCCAGTAACTGGGAGATGTTCTTACCTGCTGTAACTTTATATACATCTATCCAAGCTGTGCTATAATGAGAGAAATCCTTTTTATTCTATTTATTTTATCTGTGATCACTTCCTACTGTCGTCTTGTGTTCATATTAGTAGCAGTAATAGTAACAGAAAATAGGGATTTCATTATGGGCACTGTCTCTGATCATGTGTCCCATGCCATGGCTTAATTTCTATTTACCTGCCAGTTGTTAAGTTGCTTGTTGTAGAGATTTTTTTTTTTTTTTAACCTCCCAGAAGCAATCCTCTCCTCAAGAGAGCCTAGAGTCTGTAGCATGTACTTAATTCTGCTGAAAATAAATAGTAAAATAACAAATAATAATAATGATCAGTAAGAGGAATTTTACCCTTAGGTCAAGAGAGTCTCCAATTTTTTTTCAAATTTCAGTGAGACATTCCAGAGTACAATTTATGGGTGAAGTATTTATAAAATGATGTCTATGCTTTCTGTTCCTGTTACATGTATGTTTCTCTCTAGGTACAATGAAACTGGAATCTTTCTCTTTTACAATTATAGGGCAGGTGATATGTAAATAAAGAAAGGAAGTTGGAGTATATCAGCAGATATACCTGATTCTGTATATAAAAACCAGGTACCTGCTAGATGAAATGAGCTGTAACTCAAATATCAGGCTAATCAGTGGGAGCAAACTGGTGCTGCCTTTGAAAGGTGATGGTAAGACATGCTAATAAGTTGGAGCTTTGCCTTAGAAATGCCATTTCCCAATAGATGAATGTTTTCATAAGAAAATCATCACCATAGATGTTAATTAGCAATATCATCACATGCTCTTCTGAGATGCAGGAGATGGAATTATTATCCCACAGGGATAGTTGCTACAGGTCGATGCACAGTCATGAGAAAATGTATGACACTTTTCTGTGTTATTACTTGGACTGTATTTTTTTGTTCAGTAGACCTCAGTTTTTTGGTGCCCAGACCCTGTACCCTTCCTAAACACTAAATCCATGCAGTATTATTTTATTGTAATACATTATTTTAGAATTATTTATTATTTTACTTATTTTAAAATAATTATTTGGTTCATAAAGAGCAGTTAAAAATGCTATGGGGTCCTGTTTATATTTCTACTATATGTGTGATTTGTTGTATAAATAGCTGCCAATGTATATGTTATATTGTTACATGTATAATATTCTGTTAAATATTTTACCAAACAGAAAGATCTTTGTATGCTTTTAACAGTGAGTAATGTATATATCTTGTATATATGGCAAGGAACTCTAGAGAGAAAGTGCTCTCATCTCCTTTATTTTCATATGTTCTCAAAGCTCATTTTCTCAAGGACTTGAAAAGGTGCTATGAACTCGAATTGCTGAGTCAACATAAACTCCAGGAGAGGCCACTGACATTGTTTTACCATGTTGGAATTTTTTTAGAAAAGAGCAGATCTATATTAAAGGATGATAAGTACACTCATTTCTCTTCCCATGGGGACTGACAGAAATGAACTGCTGATGACCACAGTGAAGTGGAACTGAATAGGCCGTGGCCATGAATAGGCCATATTCCTTTTGAATACTAGAATGGAAATTAATTACTAGCTACTGCTTGTCTGGGTTTTGGTCAGCAAACTGCATAAACACTTCAGCCTTGGCTAAAACCAGATAAAATTAGGAGTGACACTTATTAGGTGATAGCCTTTCTTACTAATGGTTTGGGAAAGAAACAAAAGCAATAGCTACCCAGCCATTGGGTGAAAGAGGCTACATGCTCCTCAGTTTTTGTTTTCTGCTGCTGGTGTTAGAGCTCAACATCAAATGTCAACATGGAAGGATTGGCAGAGCTAAGAGCTATGACCAACCTTAACCTACAAGCTGCAACTCTGACAACTCAGTTTAACAAGAGTGATATAAAACAAGACTATTCACTCATTAGCAGGTTACATTCTTATCTGCAGCATTTCCAAGATGGTAAATAAATCAATGATGAAAGTGGTATGAGCCGAGATAATAATTTTTTTTTGTTTGATCACGGCCGTCTTTGCTCCTGGGAGCCATAACTGTCTGAATCTCCCGGACTGAAAAAAAAAATAGTTGCAATAGTTAAAGAGCCATTGCTCTCTAACAAATAGTTATTCATGTACCTTATGCAACAGGGGATGTTCAGGATTTGCTTACCAGAATATTATACTGTCTTTCCAAAGTTGGGTACATTTGCTTTCTTACTACATAAACTTTTCTTGTTTTCCGACACCTCATTTGCTTAACAAACAGGATTTCCTTGTTAAAAGTATCCATTTAAAAATATTTACTTTTCAAATAATCATCTGTGATCATCTGTTTAAATTATTTTCAAATGTGTCCTTTTTATGCTTAGCCAATTGCAATCATTTCATGGCAAATAGAGTATATAACCATAAAATGTTATCAAAGTATATTTGTTTTGTTCCCCTGGGGCTTCTGCAATTCCCTATAGCTATTGAAATCTAGTAATCTGTAATTTCCTTTTAAAGGATTTGGACAATTTAGACTTTTTACCATGGCCTGTACAGACAGCAAAAAGGGACAACTGTTTTAAACTAAAAGAGGGTAGGTTTAGTTTGGAGAAGTCGTTCAGAGAAGCTGTGAATTCTCCATCACTGGAAGCATTCAAGGTCAGGCTGGAGGGGACTTTGAGTGACCTGATTGTGTGAAAGATGTCCCTGCTTATGACGGGGGATGGACTAGATGACCTTTAAATATTCTTCCCAACCAATCCCACTCTATGTTTCTAGTATTTTATTTATTGAATGAACAATTGTAAAACTAGGGTCTTTGGGAAACATTATATTCTTGATGGCCTGGCCAGTGTAATATACTGAAATATGGGAGGGTTTTCACCAAAAAATTATTCAGACAAGTCAAATATCAAGATTGGCCACACATAATTTTTTTTTTTTTTTTACTTTTTACTTTTCCCCCCTGTCAACTATTATTTCATCCATTTATTCATTAATCAGAAGAATAAAAAGAAATTAGTATGTGCAGTACATCATAGAAAAGGCAGTATTTCCCTATAAGGTTCCCAAAATAAAACTTTGTGTAAAGATAGTACCTTAAGTTTGTGACACTGTTACTGTGTCTTCTATCTTTAATCAGCTGTGTGGGTGGTGGCTGACGAGTCAGAGTAACTAGCTGACACACGAAATGTCACAGTTCAAAGAAAAGCTTTGGCATGACTCTCATTTACTATAATATATCAGCTTTACACTTCTCTGGCAATGAAATGCCATCTTAAAATCAGGATGAATTACAACTGCATTCTCCATTCCTGCTTTGATTCCTTAACACTGTTCTTTGGGAAGGCTGCCCAAATGTAAAAAAAGAGTCAGGTCTGTTTGTTTAACATTTTGCATAGAGATTCCCAGTAACAATCTGAGAAGATACATTGTATAATTGTCTAAAAGAAATAGTAGTAACAACTGGGGGTATTAATCATAGTTATTTAAGTATCCGTTCTTGAGCCTCTTATTTGCAAGAGGTAAAAAATTAGTGATGAATCTTAAAGAGCACAGAGGTTGCACATGCATTAACATTTTGTCTCAAAGCAGGGCAGTTCTGAAGAGAATTCCCCATTTCTGTGTGTTTGGTTTGGTTTGCAGAGTCATTCTGGTGCATGCAAATCAAGATTAATTCTGGAGAAGAATAAACTAGAAGACCATTCTGGGCTCACAAGAAACACGCAGAAGTACCCAATGGAGACCTGAGTCTGAATAGTGACTACTTTGCACCACCAGGAAGTTCTCCAAGCCTTCCTGCACATGTCAAGCAGTCCAGCTGACCATCAGCAATAAGGCATCCCATTCTTCATGTCTGGTTTTTCAACTGAGAGAAAAGCCAGTGTCAGTGCCCTCAGTGTCCTCTTGGATTTGTTTCTGTGCCTCAAGGCCTTTCTTAGTCCTTTCAATGAGACCTTTGGATATTGATCAAAGTTAGAGTGGGGGCAGAGTTTGGAAATCTGTTCCAGTGTCTCACCATTCTCACAGTAAAGAATTTCTTCCTAATATCTAATCTAAATCTACCTTATTTCAATTTGAGACCATTTGCCCTTGTCCTTCACTACATTCTGTCATTAAAAGTCCCTTTCCAGCTTTCTTGCAGGATCGTCTCAGGTTCTGGAAGGCAGCAATTAGGGACCCCCAAAGCTTTCTCTTTTCCAGACTGAACAAACCTAATTCCCTCAGCCTTTCCTACTAAATTACTAGTTTAGCACTGAAGTATTTGCTGATGTAGAGTTAGTCAGGGAGTCTGATGTTTAAAATTGCTTTGATACCCATGCTGCGGAGAACATCTTGTTCTTGGTCAAATGATGTTTCTCACTGACACCAGGGAGGAGTATTTCTTTGTGTGCTCCAGTCAAGTTTGCATTTGTTTATAAAATTCTTTTAAAGAGTCATTCTAATTTATATAATTTTAATTTACCGTTGGCTTCACTATATGCAACAGGAAGTTGAATATGTGGACAAAGATGGCCTACAAACTAGCTATGAAAATTAATACACCTACCATGGTACATCTTAGAATGAGTTGCTGTGTTAAAAGATCTGAGATGTGTCTTCTGAGAAAAGCCTAGTAACTGCAAAACATTCATGCTAGAAATGAAAAAACTTTTGAATACTTAATCTTTCTTAGAGAAGAAAGCTGTGATAGATGTTAAATAATTGTGAAATATTCAGTGGCATATTGAAATGTAACAGATGCTATGGAATAATGTTATAGTCAAATATTGTACTA